TATATATATATATATTAAAATTTTAAAATTATTAAATTTTTAATGAGAAAGACTAAAATTGCACAATTATGATATTTGAGAGATTAAAATTGTTCAATTAAAAATTGTGAGACTAAAATTATACAACTATAATATTTTAAGGACTGAAATTATTCAATTAAAACTTTAGAGATCAAAATTGCATAATTATAATATTAAAAACACAATTAAGAAAAGAATATTTTTTCACAGTTTTGGAGCCGGCCGTTCTGAATTCAGAACTTCAGAACGGGCCGTTCTGGTTTCAGAACTGCCCGTTCTGCGTCACTGGTGGTGTTTTAATTTTGTAACCAGAACGGTCCGTTCCGGTTTCAGAACGGACCGTTCCGGTGCAGGTGTTTTCAAAAAAAAATCTCATCCACGTGGATGCCACGTATGCATCTACGTGGCATCCACGTGGCCAAAAGTTAACTCCGTTTAAATAATTTGGACGGAAGTCCCACATTGAAACTAATTAATTAATTTGGGACTAAATTGAAACCAATTAATTAGTTTGGGACCAAATTGAGACCAAAAATTAATGAGGGACTAAATTGAAACAAAAAAAGATTATAAGGAACCAAATTAGGTTTTTAGCCTAAAAGATAATAAATAGTGCTCAAAACACATATAGTAAAATTAACTAAATCTTTTATACTTATAATAGATAAAATTATAAAATATATTTATTAACGAGTTATTCAAACTATCAACTCTTTTTAATAATATGAAAATTTTACGTGTATGAGATTATTATATATTTTCAAACTTGTTGAAAAGTAAAATTAAATATAAAAAAATTATGTAAAAAGATATAACAAAGATAATAAAGGGTGTATTTTTCTGTCCAACACAAAACCACACTTATTGATTGATCTATCTAAATTTATTGATGTTCCATATTAACAATTCTATAATCAAGAACAGTTTAGATTAAAATGATAAAAGATTTTTATTTCTCATTATTGTAATCTTTATTATGAAAATAAGTCTATAATTTTAATTGAGGCTTTATCAAATTATGTATTTAACAAAATAATAAATACGATAATAAAAAATAATAACACTTTATTAAATCTAATATGATTACATGATAAATTGGGTTTTGAGCATATTTAATTATTCTTCCACAGATACGTCATCAAAAGCTTGCTTAAGTGAGCCAACATGCACATAAATAACAAACTTAAGACGTTAAAAAGTTAGAGTTCAAAGAATATAGTGACTTATTTCATTTTTCAGTATTACTTATAAAGATTAGAGAGATTAAGAGTAATAACCTTGTAATTGTAAACCCTTAAGGATCTCCATTTGTATTTGTGAGCAAATTCGTTAGTCATGAGCGACTAAATTCTCTTTGTTAGGGATTGATCTAGGTATTGTACTCCGTGTAACTCTTTTCTATTTTTATCCATTAAAAATTTTTATTTAGTTAATTGTTGTTCTTTTCTTAAAGCATGTTTTGACTTAGTTTCTTTCTACATGATTATATTTAAAATTTGTATAGTTTGATATTTATTACGAAATCCAACATATAAATAAATAACTACAGATATAATTACAATACTTCCTATTGACTTGGATCATACTCATACCCCAACACATGTTGAAGAGACATTAAAGGAAGTCAAAGTGAAGGTCCAACTTGAAAAGGCCCAAATGCATCATTAAACAATTTTATAATTTATCATAATAAGTATATTTTTAATTAGAGTTTAATCTTGTAATTTAAATCTATACAATTCAATACAACAATAACATGTAATATGATAATAATATAATATACACTTACTTAATTGAATTTTTTTTAACTCGATATTCTTAAGTAGGATCTTAAATTTAAATGTTATAAATAAAAAAGTATGGTTGGAAGAAAATCCACTAATTGTAATCATTCAAGTTCCCCAACAAAGTTTTTTCTTAATCCAAAATGGTAAATAAGAGATTACATTATCATAATTGCTAAGCAAGAAGTTAATAACATTATGGAGATCTTCAGACCAACACCAACAGAGATTATTAATGAGTATAACTGATTAAATTCTTTTACTTAATAGTTATCTCTAACTTTACATGTTTGTGTATTGCCTTAATTTAAATTTTAATGCAAAAAAAAAACCAGTTGACTACATCTTTAGTTTTCAAAAACATAAAAAGTACATCTTTATTTTCTCCTCAAACCTCCTTTTTATCTCTCTCTCCTAAGAATAACATTTGATCGATCTCTCTTTTTTTTATTCGATAAGAAGATATAACTTTTTTTTTTGTGAATTGATGAATCTTTTAATTACTTTTTTTAATTTACTAAATTAATTTATTATTATTATTATTATTTTGGGAATAAACCCAAAGTTAGGAACACATCATATATTCTTTATATTTTTCCTTTATTTTCTTCTCCTTCTCTCGTTCAGAAAAAAAGACACCATCTAATTTCAAGCAAAGCTCCACAACAGCAATAATACAGTTATAATATTTTATTCTTCACAGTTCAATCTAGTATTTCACCCACATAAAATAGTAATTTGATGAGTGCTCAAATCTTTTTAATTTTTAATTTTGAAAGTGGTGGAAGACATAATCAATGAAGTCACCATGCTCATTTGTTTAATGGATGATTGATGGCGGCTGATAAACTGATAATTGAGGCTATTACCTTTCCCAGCAGTAGGGACACCTCCGTCTAGTAGAGTGAGGAGGAGAAAAGTTTTGAAGTGAAGTGTGAGCTAGAGTCATATATATGTTATGTTAGATGTTATTTTATTAAAATGTGATGTAAGTTGACTTGTGTGTGATTGGCTTATGGTTTATTGATGTAGTTCTTCCGGTGTTTCTAACAATTGATACTAGAGTCGAAAATTGATCGAGTTATTTTATGATATTTGTCTGAAGGGATATTTTATGATGGTTATTTTTATAAGGTTATTATACAAATATACTCTGCAATGATGAGATATTGTCCGCTTTGGGTCGTAGCCCTCACAGTTTTACTTTTGGTTATCACCCAAAAGGTCTCTCAATCATTAAAGTATGTTTATATTATATAAGTTGTTATTTTTTGTCTTATTTTATCGACGTGTTTGTACAATAAAAAAGAATTTAACGCAGAATTCTAAGGCAGACTCGTAATTGATGATATCACCCTTGTCCCTTGCTCATTTTTTTTAACGGGGTGGTTGACTTAATATGATTTGATACGTTGTTTTGTTTATTCCACCAATGCAATGAAGTAATGTGGAAATGAAATGCCGAGTTACGGGGAGCATAATCATATATTTGAGCACTTGAAAATCCTATTGGTGTGAGTCTGTCATCAGTGACAACCTTACTTCCTTAGCCGCCCATGTGGTAGTACAGTGTCCTCTATCTAAATATATAAATATCACATCATCATCTCTTGTCTTACATTCAACTAAACACATATTAAGGTCCCTGTCAAATTGAAAAGAAAATTTGAGAAAAATTTGCATTGCCTTTTCTCTTTAGTACTGTTTGATTCTTGGAGGCTGAAACTTTTGATTTTTCCTTGGAAATGGAGGATGGGGGTAGTGTCAAAGCAGGCAGTGCTATTATGAGTAGTTTCAGGATTGGGAGTTCATCAGTTTGGAGTAACAGTGGTGTGGAAATCTTTGCAAACTCTTTCCACCAGGAAGATGATGAAGAGGCTCTTAAATGGGCTGCTATTCAGAAACTTCCTACGTTTGCACGTTTGAGGACAGGCTTGCTGACTTCGCCGGAAGGGGTTGCCAATGAGATCGATGTTCATCAACTTGGGTTGCAAGAAAGGAGAGGTTTGCTTGAGAGACTCGTCAGAGTTGCTGAAGAGGACAATGAGAAGTTCATGCTCAAGCTCAGGGACCGCATTGATAGGTGAGTGTGTGCCTCAGTGTCATTATTCTTGATTTTAACTAAGCTACATACAACCTATCAGGGTCGGTTAAATGGTGAGAGATTTTGGTAGTTTGCATCAGCTCGTAGGTTCAAACCTTATTGACGTTCTGCATGACTTTAGAATGCACTATTAATGTCTTTTTTTGGATTGGATGGTGCTAGAGTTGGAATTGCCCTTCCTACAATAGAGGTCCGATTTGAGAACATGAACGTTGGAGCAGAAGTTCATGTAGGTAGTAGAGCTTTGCCTACCTTCACTAACTACATGGTTAATAAAGTAGAGGTAAGTGTACCAAGCACAAACCTTTCAAAATGAATAGTATTAATCTCTTTGAAGGAGGTTTTAATGTGCCTTTTTTGTGTTGATTTTTAAAGGGGCTGTTGAACTTCCTTCATGTACTCCCAAGTAGAAAGCAACATATAAATATTATCCAGAATGTTAGTGGAATAATAAGGCCAGCCAGGTAACAATTAATGTAGACAATATTCTATGTTATATCTCACTTGGAAGACAAGACAACAAGCAACAAAATATGTCACTGTTTGTTTTTCTCCAGAATGACATTGCTTTTGGGTCCTCCAAGTTCTGGGAAGACCACACTCCTGTTGGCCTTGGCTGGAAGACTTGATTCAGAACTAAAGGTTAAGTCATGGTACTAGGTTTGTGCTAGTATTTTCCATTTTGGACTTGTAGCTAATAAGGTTTGACTTTTTTATCAGTTCACTGGAAAGGTGACTTACAATGGTCATGGAATGAATGAATTTGTACCCCAACGAACGGCTGCTTATGTCAGTCAAAATGATCTTCATATTGGAGAAATGACAGTCAGAGAAACCTTGGCCTTCTCGGCGCGAGTTCAAGGAGTTGGACCTCGTTATGGTTAGTCCACAGAATTGAAATTTGGAAACCATGTGCAAAAATTTCATATGAAAACCAAGTTTAAACCAAAATTATTTCATATTCTGCAGATTTGCTAACAGAGGTGTCCAGAAGAGAAAAAGAAGCAAATATCACACCTGATCCAGATATAGATGTCTATATGAAGGTAAGAAAGAGATAATTTGATGAAAAATAGAGGTGTATAACACCAAACATACAAAAGGGACAAAAACTGATATGAAATATTTGAGTTACAAACTTAGTTTTGCATACATTAACAGTGTTTACAGCAAGTGCTTAAATACTAAGATTGACTAATCATTGGGTAAAACAAATAGTAAAATATGACTAAACTAACAAGAAAATATCATTTGCCTGCACAATTTACTTTTTCTGAACATAAGTAACTTTTAAGAAAATTTACAAGCAAAACAGAAAACTGTAGAGACTTTAAAATATTTAATTAAGACAGTGAAAAAATCTCAATAGTCAACATAATTGTCTACTAGGGGCATGTCTTTATCTATTTGGCCCGCATCTCTTGAACTTCCTTTCATACTTTTTGACAGATAGAAAGATAAGCTTTCAACTCAATTCAAGAAAAATGTTTGCTTTTCAATCGTAACAACATATTTGTTGAAATTTTGGAATTCTATTTCTACACATAAGCAATGGAATTTCCTTTTGGGAATGCCTATTCTATGAACAAAGGGACTTTCTCTTTTTCCCTTCATGGGTGTATGCTCTTCCTGCATGGATCTTAAAAATCCCCATGACTTTTGCGCAAGTGGGAATCTGGGTATTCCTCACCTACTATGTTATTGGCTTTGATCCATATGTTGGAAGGTAAAGGAGCTGTGCGTACTGGTTTTTTCCCCATCCTCTCATGTTGAAATGCTACTGAAGTCTGAATAAAAAATGACACTTATCTATCTCTCTACTTAATGCAGATTCTTCAGGCAATTTCTCCTCCTGTTATTTGTTAACCAGATGGCTTCTGCCTTATTCCGGTTTATTGGAGCACTTGGTAGGGAACTGACGGTTGCTTTCACAATTGGGTCGTTTGTATTGGCCATCCTTATTGCTATGAGTGGTTTCATCCTGTCAAAAGGTATCATCATAATATTAATACAAAAGAATAAGAATATGTTTGGTTACAAACTTAAAAGAGCTTCACTATTGAAAATAAAGGATTTTTTTTTCAATAAAGAAGCTCTCAAAAGCACTTTTAACTTGTATCTAAACAGATTTTAAGTCTTTCTTTCATTATAATAACACTACTCTTTTTTCGTTGCTTTATGCCAATAGACAATATGAAAAAATGGTGGTTATGGGGCTTTTGGTCATCACCTATGATGTATGGACAGAATGCCATAATAAATAATGAGTTTCTGGGGAAGAGATGGAGACATGTAAGTTTTTTTTATACTAATCTTTGTGTTCATTTTTGTGCTTGCCTTATCACATAAATAATCTAGTGTATGGATATATTTTCTTTTGAAAGGTTCTACCCAACTCAACTACACCGCTAGGAGTTGCAGTTCTTAAATCTCGCGGATTCTTTACTCAGTCAAAGTGGTATTGGATTGGTGTTGGGGCACTGATTGGATATACGATAGTGTTCAATATTGCTTTCATCCTTGCTCTCACTTACTTGAACCGTGAGCTTCTTCACCTTAAAAATGTTTTATAATCAAATGAGAGAGCCTATAGTTTGTACTAATATTATCACAAATTGGTTAGCAGCAATTGTGCAGCATCAAGCTGTTAAATCAGAGCAATCTCAAACCAATGAGCAGGATGGTGGAAGCACTTCTGCAAGGTCTTCATCTAGAAGGAAAGAATCCGACAGAAGAAGAGGAATGGTTCTTCCCTTTGAACCACATTCCGTCACCTTTGATGATGTAACATATTCTGTTGACATGCCACAGGTAATGTAAATGGAAAAAAGTCAAATAACACTTGTATTAAGCTTTTAGAGAATTATTATGATTACTGAATCCGTGCACTAAATTTGCAGGAAATGAAGAATCAGGGAGTTGTTGAGGATAGGTTGGTCCTTTTGAAGGGTGTCAGTGGCTCTTTCAGGCCAGGCGTTCTCACAGCACTAATGGGTTCCACTGGTGCTGGCAAAACAACTCTGATGGATGTACTAGCTGGAAGAAAGACTGGGGGATATACTGGTGGGAACATCACAATTTCTGGCTATCCCAAGAATCAAGAAACCTTTGCAAGAATTTCTGGATACTGTGAACAAAATGATATCCATTCTCCTCATGTTACTGTATATGAATCCTTGCTCTATTCAGCATGGCTTCGATTATCAGCAGAAATCAATTCTGAAACCAGGAAGGTCGGCATCTGAATCCTATGTTGAGTAAAAAATATCTTAGTTAAACTACTTATACATTGATACACAATTTTCCTACACTGAATTAATGATTTGAATCCTCTAAAGGGAAAAATATAAAGCATTAAAATAATAGTTGTTGACAAAAAAAAGGATTTCAACAATTTGGTGGTTCATCTAATGTGTACTGGTAATTTATTATCTCAATGTCAACATTTAACTTCCCAACTAATAGTTTAAAATTTTAGCTATAAGTTTATACTTTACCTTTTGAAATGCATCTCTCACTTTAGAGAAGTCAAATTCCAGAATTAGATACCTTATTCAATGCACAATCTTCCTCTCGTAGCTATTTTTTGCACACTTCACATATATTATTGTGTCAGTTTGAGTGCTAACAAAAGTATTTGAATGTTTTTTATCAGTTTACTAAGTTTTGAAATGATGAATGGTTGGTGACAGATGTTCATTGAGGACGTTATTGAACTTGTGGAGCTGAATCCTATAAGGAATGCAATTGTTGGATTGCCAGGTGTTGATGGTCTTTCGACAGAGCAGCGCAAAAGGTTGACTATTGCTGTTGAGCTAGTGGCTAATCCTTCTATCATATTCATGGATGAGCCAACTTCTGGGCTAGATGCAAGAGCTGCTGCTATTGTTATGAGAGCTGTTAGGAACATAGTGGACACTGGAAGAACAATTGTCTGTACCATTCATCAGCCCAGCATTGATATATTTGAATCTTTTGATGAGGTGAATTAAGCAGAGCAAAAAATTATGACATCTTCATTCTCTTTTATTAATAAGTTTCTAATTTTTATTGTCAACTAAATGCAGCTCTTTCTAATGAAGCGAGGAGGGCAAGAGATATATGTGGGGCCACTTGGTAATCATTCTTCTCATTTAATCAGTTACTTTGAGGTAAAACTCTTATGAAAATTAGTACATATTGAAGTGCATGCTTTGCTTCAGATCTTTGTCTTGGTAAAAATTTAACTGTTGCGGACATTTCTCTCATGAAGGAAATTAAGGGTGTCCATACCATTGAGGATGGCTACAACCCAGCAACATGGATGTTGGAAGTCACAAATTCAGCAAAAGAAATGGAAATGGGGATTGATTTTGCCGAGGTGTACAAAAATTCAGAGTTATACAGGTATTGAAATCAATTGGTTGAAGTCTCATCAAACTCTGGAACAGGGAAATAATATGCTAGATAGAGCCTAGAAAGTAGAAAGCTACAATTTTGTGTTATATGAAGTTGTTCAAAGTATTATGGAATGAATGGTTGTTGAGGTAAACTGTTATGTGGCATATATTTCAGGAGAAACAAGGAACTTATTAAAGAATTGAGTACTTCAGCCCCTGGTTCTAAGGACCTTTATTTTCCTTCAAAGTATTCTAGGTCCTTTATTACACAATGCATGGCTTGCTTATGGAAACAACATTGGTCTTACTGGCGCAATAATCAATACACCGCCCTAAGATTTCTCTACACAATCGCTGTGGCCTTGTTGTTTGGGAGCATATACTGGGACCTGGGCTCCAAAATGTGAGATCAAGTCATCAAACCAAAAACTAGGAAATTTTATTGCATCAACTCATGTTTCTTAGTTTCTAGCTCTTTCTAACAGCATATTTCCATATCCATTGCAGCAAAAAGCAACAAGATCTTTTCAATTCCATGGGCTCCATGTATGCTGCTGTTCTCCTTCTTGGTATCAAGAATGCTAATTCAGCACAACCGTTGGTGGCTGTTGAAAGAACAGTGTTTTATAGGGAAAAAGCTGCTGGAATGTATTCAGCTTTGGCGTATGCTTTTGCTCAGGCAAGTACTTTGTTATTTAGAGACTTGAAAATAATTTCATTGTCTAACTTTTCTTATCTTCATATGTTCTTGCAGGTTGTAGTTGAACTACCACATGTTCTCTTACAAACTGTGGTATATAGCATTATAGTGTACGCAATGATTGGTTTTGAGTGGACTGTCACTAAATTTTTCTGGTACCTTTTCTTTATGTACTTAACATTCCTCTACTTTACATATTATGGCATGATGTCAGCTGCCATCACCCCAAACCCATCCATGGCGGTTATACTTTCTGCTGGATTTTATGAAGTATGGAATCTCTTCTCAGGATTCATAATCCCACGACCAGTAAGTTTTAGCTTGCTTTGATGTTTTGTGCAGTTTCTTGTTTACATTTATACTTTGTAAGCATACGACACGAGAAATGTTAGCAATAGATTTTATAAAACTATTTTCACCATACTCTAGTCTATCATCAGTTGAAATTTGTTAAAAATCATAAGATCATAAGTGGGATGCATTAAATAAGGATTAAAACTCAAATGTTGTAACATAAGTGTTGTTGATAATTTTTCAGTTAAGAGTTTCACCTTGATAATATACATAATAAAGAATTTTATTAAATTAATGTTAATTTTGTCAAAACAATTATGTGACGTTTGTGTTAAATGTCCAAATGTTAGCTTTATTATGAAGGTAAATGTTTCAAAATCATACCAAGAAGAGAAAGAATTAATTAATTTCTTGATGATCAATGAATATGTATGAAATTTCATGAGTTATTATTAAAAAGAAATATTCAATTCAAAATAACCACTGAATTGTGTACTAATTTTTGTGATATAAACGAAATAATCTTGTACATTTGATTAGAAATTCGTTTCTAATATCCATGTATAGAGAAAAATATTTGTTCAGAAATTTATATATATTTTTTAAAATCAATCTCAAATATTTCAAGAAATTAATCTTTAACTTTCAGTTAAAAAGAAATTGAGATTTTAAGTATATATTCTTTATTAAATGTTAAAATATGTTATTGTGATAAAATTTTAATTCTAATTAAAAAATAATACCAATAATGTATGTAGTACTATATTCAAGTTTTGTCCTAAATAAGAAGTGTGATCCACTCAATTTTATGACTTCCAACCTCTACAAGAAAATGTCACTTAGTGACCAAATATTCAGTCACCAAAGTGAGAAAATAGTCACTAAACAATTAGAGACGAAATTGGAGACTGATTTCAATAAATGGCTAAACATCTTAGAGACTGATTTCGACTAATGTTAGAGTATGTTGAAACGACTCGCATCGCCAAATTGTGTGTTGCTAGCTGTGTAACGGTATTACATACGTATCCATGTTAGGACACTGTATGACACTTCAATTACTTCCAGATGCAATTTTGGAACTTTTTTACTTTGATTTTTTAAAATTCTTACATCAATATGGATTGAAATGTCACATTAATTGGATAACTTTCAACATTTTATTATGTTTATGTTGATACATATTCATTTGTAAAACATGAATTGTCTGTAATGATTTAAACTTTTTGACATATTTGTTTCCTTTCTGGGGCATGGATATGATGAACAGAAGATACCTGTCTGGTGGAGATGGTACTATTGGGCAAATCCAGTAGCTTGGACTTTGTATGGGTTGGTGACATCTCAATTTGGAGATATACAAGGCCATATTGAGTTTAATGGTAAAAGAACAACAGTGGAAGACTTTTTAAGAAATTACTTTGGTTTTAAGCATGATTTTTTGGGAGTGGTTGCAGCTGTTCTTATAGGAATTGCAGTTACTTTTGCATTTATCTTTGCCATTGCCATAAAGATGCTTAATTTCCAAAGACGTTGAGAATGACATTCAACTTTTGATTAGGATGTTCTTCGTTGGTAATAATTTGTACAGGAAAAAAGACAACATTTCTATCTGTATTATCTTATTTTCGAATTAAAAGTGTGTTTGAGTTCAGTTACAATATATTTTTTTTTTTATTTTATCTTTATTATTTTCCTAAATAATTTATTCAAAACAACTTTTTTCAAGAAAATAGATGCTATTAGAAAAGAATTGTTAAGTAATTTCGTCAAAACTACTTAATTTTGCATAAATAATTAAGTTAGTAAATTATTAGTCATTAAATTCTCACAATAACATTAAAGATAAATATTATATTTAATTAATCCTATCAAATGTTGCATATTTATTTTATATAAAGATATCAACTTTCAGTTTTTATATATTTTTATTTTAAAAAAATATTTTTATATAAGAATTAAGGTAATAACTAACTAAGTCATTAAAATCTTATTAATGTTATTGATTTTTACATATTGAAATAATTTTTATTTTTAAATGAACATCCATTAAAAAAAATGTAATAAATAATATTGAAAATGAAAGATTTTTAAAAAAATTCATAATTATGATTCACGCAATATTCTAAGATTTTAAGGACTAATTTGTAATTAGGACGTAATTTTTATTAACCAAAAATTATCTTAATACAACAAGAATTAAATATGTAAACATTAAGTAAAAAAAAAAAAAAAAGACTTTATTTAAATAGAGAAGAAAAAAATTTAAATTTTTCACTTAATAAAAAAAATTAAGGTAATTTAGACATTTTAAAAGAATACACTACATATATTGTTTGCATATAGTAAAAAAAAACTGGTGCAGAAAGCAAAAGCCTTCTTCACGTGGTAGGACTTTATATTACGCAGAACTTTTATCGAAACAAAGTCAAATGAAGAGGTTAGTAAAAAATAGAAAACTATCATCTTGGAAACGATGAAAATATAATGGTGTTTAATAATATAAACAAATAAAAAATAATCTAACAAAAATTATAATTAATTTTTTAGTTTAATTGAAAAATAAATAATTAATCACACATTTTTAATATATTTCAGTAATAATTTTTTAAATAATCTATATATATAGATGAGTCCAAATCCAGTTTAGAGTTAATAAATAAATAAAAGGATTTTCTGAAGTAGAAAAAAAAATTTAACTTAAAATTTCACCCATAGATTTTTTAAACCTTCACTTTATAATGAAAGCAACAATTTTTTTTTTCAAATAACCTTGAATCATCCGGTGAAAATTCACTGGAGAAGATTCATTCTCCAATAGAATTTATCCTCGTTTTAAATTTTTTTTAATATAAATAAATTTTAATTATTTATATCTTATTTAATGATGTTTTCTCTAAAATATCTCTTCTTTAATACATAATCTTTTAGTTGTATTATTTTTTAATATTTATAATAAAAAATTCAAAAAAAATATTATGAGATTAGAAAAATTAATATAGATAATTAATTTTTTTAATTTATAAAATTTTATAGAATTCAATAAAATTGCAATCACCTTCAAATTATGATGGAAATATAACATATGAAGAATAAAAAAATATAAAACAAAAAATATGAAAGAGATGTTAAAATAAGTAGTAGCACATTAACATGAAATAATTAATTTTTTTATTTAATGTAATCTATAGAGATAAGAGAATTGGTGTGATGGAGAAAGAATGTTAATCTAATTTTGTTTGTTTTTTTGTCTTATTTCTTTATTATTTTATACTCGTATATTATGATTCGTATTTTATATCTCTACCTAATTATATGTTTAATTTTTTCTGCTTATTTCTTATATTTAATTATTTTTTGTACATTTATAAGGTCGACTATGACATTATGACTTTTCTGTAGTTGCATTAGGCATGGCAATCTAACCCGCCCCTGTGGGTTCCCGCCCGAACCCGCCCCGATTTGGATGGGGAAAACCCGTGTTTATCGGGTTCGGGTTTTCCCTGATTGATAAAATCGGGGGCGGGGGCGGGGGCGGGGATGTTAATACCCACCC